AACGCATCGTAATTCCACGCGTGGTAATTAAACGCGTGGTGATCCGACACGTGGTAAAAAATTCCGTATTGAACTTCCAAAGCGCCTGCGCAGACTCATCATCCACTGTACACCCCGGAAGTCATGAACCAAATTTTTAATATGCATATCTCGAGACGTCGGATCAGAAGACGGTAAAGGCTCCAACATGAAGACATCACGTAAAATTTTGCAAACGGAATTTTCAACGATTCGCATCTACCGCTTCGTCATCTACACCCACGAGATTCCAAATGCAGGGAGATCTTTACCGGCGCTCGTAGAATCTTGGACACGTATTAAGAGATACGTTCTCGATATACGTTGGATCGCTTTTAATCTTGCCGCTCATCTGGCACGAGTTCCTTCACCCTGGCCGTGCACTTGATCGCGCTAGAAGGTGATCCGGATTCTTCGACCTTTTTCTTTCACGCGGGTTCCCGCTTCGGCAGAAGGCCGCTCGCTGTCGGTCCCTCTGATACGATCGCGATGTCGCTCGATTTTACAGAAAACTCATAATTCTATGATACGCAGAGGCATAATGGATTCGAGGAGAAAGCGGCATTGAGAAGGTTGGCTCGCGTGTCCCGAGCGGATTTTTCTCCGCCTTCGGTTACTGTTAGTTTACGGGGCCGTGAACGATACAGCGAGGCGGAAAGGAACGACGATTCGTCTGATAAAACGGTTGCATATGTTACGAGGCCAGACGGAGCCATGACTCGATAACGGGAAGGGTAATCGTGATTTACCACGGCCAAGAAATTGCGAGAAAAAGAAATCGGAGAGAATAAATCTTCACTCAGGCAATTATTATTTTTCGATTACCCAGTAAATTTAACTTCTTGCTAATTTTCTATTATTTTAAAAAAATTTGTATCATCATTATGAATATATGCAATCAGACTGTATTGAATCTGAACTCGTAGTAATTCAATGTGTTTAATGCAACAATGCAATGTGTTTAATGTGTGATAATGCAACACCTAGTAATTGATCGACCAGTAATTCGTGTAGCAATTGAACGCGTATTAATACGTCATCTGTCAATCTAATACATCGCACGGTGATCTAATACATGATAATCCGTCAGCCATCGATCTGTCTCGTAATTCAAAACTTTGCCATAAATTATTCATTCTTTCCCAGTAAAAAGAAGCGAGATTTATCAGTGATCAATCAGAGGTCAAGGAAGAATTCACGAGCAGTAACCCTGAGAGTTCATCGCGGATCAGTCCGAACGCCGGAAGATGGCCGAAGACTAATCCGCCGTACCGATAGGACGCATGGGCCGTTTTAATGCCGCAATATATTCCGCATAATGGGGTTCTGAATAGCGTTCAAGGTCAAGGGTTTCAGCGCCCTTTCCCACAGTTGGAGTCGCGACAAACGTTCGTTTCGATCGAACCTACTCTCTTCCTGCTTCGATACGCCGAAAACGAGCGAAACGAAACGTCTCGTCCGACGAATAAGATACTCTAAGAACGGGCAATAATTTTGCAGGGTTTTTTCAAATTCCCTTCATTTTCTAGCGAGTCGACGACCTCGGACGAGGCAAGAAAATAGCTGTTCCTCTGCTACGAGCTTTCTTGGCGCACGGCTCGATAATAATAGCGAAGAGAACTCGCTAGCGAACTATGCAAACGAGCGGAATCTCTTTTAGAGTTTATAGGCAAAAGTGCGTTCGGGAAGCTGCGAGATTATACGCTTTTTATTCGAGTCGTTACATCCAGGATATAGCTTATTCCGTTTCTTATTAATTGAGGCGTTAAATTTCTTCCTAAGAACTGAGATGCGTGGGTGGACAATATTGGACTAATAAACGGGCGGCGTTAGACGTTGATTACATAGTCCTATTACAACGCTTTGATCATTTTTCCAAGGTTAAACTTTGCATTAACGAATCTACCTTTCGTACAATATTTCTATCATTAATATAACTAAGTAAAGGATAGCAAACACAAGTCCTATAAACACGAAATGGTTTTATTATCGAGCGCAATAATTTAACAAAAGGTCATTAAGCGATTGAAACATGAAATCAATGAATCAGCAAGCTATCGACGAATCCATCCTGATCCGTCGACACTCTCGCTTGTCCAGGTGACGGATGATCCAAAAGAACCGGATAGACCATCGTCCCTAATCATAGCCACTTCCTCTTCTCCGCCCGTCCCATCAGTCCGTTTCCCGTAATAGCCTGTCCAGAAAGCATGAATTTAACGCAGATAAATCGGCAGATTAACCAGAGTGTGCAGCTGCGCGATCGGTGTGGCTTTGACTAGTAGAGCTGGCTCGATCCTGGAGTTCCCATGAATCTGACTGACACCGTGACTCGAAATGGTCGTGGTGACCGTCGACGTGGCAGCCTTGGTAAGTGGTACCACTGGAAGGACCTCTCTGGAGATTGTAGACTCGGCTGGTGCGTCTTTGCTTGTAGCGACAGGTTTAGCGACGAGGTTGGAAGCAGCTATGTCTGCCCTGGACGGTCCATGAATTTGAGTAACAGCTTGGTTGGAGAAGGACGTAGCAACCGAGGGTCCTAGTTGAGCCGCGATGACCGGAAGAGGCTCGTTCGCGATTACGGACAAAAGCGGGACACCTGTCTTGGCGATAACTGGAGAGGTCAGCGGAACCGCCACAGACGACGGAACGACGGTGATCGGTTCAGGGTCGATTTTGACCGCGTTCTTCGACTTCGAGCCCTCTATGCCCAACTGCTTGTACAGCTCGTTGCGGTTCTCGTGGTCGGAAAGCAGACTTTCAAATAGGTTGGGAACTGAAACGAACTGAGGCTTGGCTGGTTTGGTCTCCAGAGGGGTATCGCTGGGTTGATCACCCGGATTGATGATAACGACCCCGTATTCCTTTTCGATTTTGTCCTGCGATTCGTTCTGCTGATTCGAAGGGATCGACAGCTGCTGGGGCTCCGAGCTTGATCCCTGATCGCTGATGTTCTTAACATCTTTCTGATCTGGATTCTGAGGAGACTCCTCGGCGCTACGCTTCTTGCGGCTCGACTTTTCCGAATCCGCGCTTCTGGCCAGCAGGATGTGACTCTCTGCGGGTTCCAGGTTGTCGTCCGTGGGCAAGTTCGTGGCCGCCACGCGGAAACCGTTCTCGTCCGCGATGTAGAAGACAGATTGCAGGATACCGTTCGCGTCCACGTAGCTGTAGGATCCTCGAAGAACCCCATCGGCGTCCTTGATTTCCTCCTTGGCCGAGGGACCTCCAGCGTAACTGTACGCGTGCACGCCTGTCCTCGTGTCCTGGAAGTGGTGGGTCACCGGGAAAGGCGCCGACAAGTAGGCGTAGGGTAGCAGACTCAGCCGGGTGGCCGAAACCAGGCTCAAAGCCATGAAGAATGGAATCTGAAAAAAAGGGACGATCATTCCCGTGACACGTCGAGGAATTTTCATGAAACCCGAAGTCGGGATAAATCGTGTGGGGTGCTCGTCCGCAGAATAATCCTCGAAGAGGCGTCAAGAAATTGAGAATCCTTTCAGGATTGACAGTTGGAACTTCAAGGATGCCAAGTACAGCCACGAATCGTCGAATTTTATGGCAGCGGGTATTCCCGTCGCTTAAGGAGGACCCGACGTTTTATACTTGCATGAGGCTCCGGGATCCAGCACTCTTTACGAGCCAATAAGAGACGAACGGGCAGCTACAACGGCCACAAGAGATACACAGAAGCGATCGAGAAGAGACTGAAAAGACTCCCTCTGTTCTCCTCGGCATTGATTTCGAGCCGGTATTCAGCCGGCGTTCGTTTGACTTTCAAGACGCGATTCGAATCCGATCGAATCTCTGCATGGACAGTTTTTCCAATGCACTTCTGGAGAGGTCAGCGGAACCGCCACAGACGACGGAACGACGGTGATCGGTTCAGGGTCGATTTTGACCGCGTTCTTCGACTTCGAGCCCTCTATGCCCAACTGCTTGTACAGCTCGTTGCGGTTCTCGTGGTCGGAAAGCAGACTTTCAAATAGGTTGGGAACTGAAACGAACTGAGGCTTGGCTGGTTTGGTCTCCAGAGGGGTATCGCTGGGTTGATCACCCGGATTGATGATAACGACCCCGTATTCCTTTTCGATTTTGTCCTGCGATTCGTTCTGCTGATTCGAAGGGATCGACAGCTGCTGGGGCTCCGAGCTTGATCCCTGATCGCTGATGTTCTTAACATCTTTCTGATCTGGATTCTGAGGAGACTCCTCGGCGCTACGCTTCTTGCGGCTCGACTTTTCCGAATCCGCGCTTCTGGCCAGCAGGATGTGACTCTCTGCGGGTTCCAGGTTGTCGTCCGTGGGCAAGTTCGTGGCCGCCACGCGGAAACCGTTCTCGTCCGCGATGTAGAAGACAGATTGCAGGATACCGTTCGCGTCCACGTAGCTGTAGGATCCTCGAAGAACCCCATCGGCGTCCTTGATTTCCTCCTTGGCCGAGGGACCTCCAGCGTAACTGTACGCGTGCACGCCTGTCCTCGTGTCCTGGAAGTGGTGGGTCACCGGGAAAGGCGCCGACAAGTAGGCGTAGGGTAGCAGACTCAGCCGGGTGGCCGAAACCAGGCTCAAAGCCATGAAGAATGGAATCTGAAAAAAAGGGACGATCATTCCCGTGACACGTCGAGGAATTTTCATGAAACCCGAAGTCGGGATAAATCGTGTGGGGTGCTCGTCCGCAGAATAATCCTCGAAGAGGCGTCAAGAAATTGAGAATCCTTTCAGGATTGACAGTTGGAACTTCAAGGATGCCAAGTACAGCCACGAATCGTCGAATTTTATGGCAGCGGGTATTCCCGTCGCTTAAGGAGGACCCGACGTTTTATACTTGCATGAGGCTCCGGGATCCAGCACTCTTTACGAGCCAATAAGAGACGAACGGGCAGCTACAACGGCCACAAGAGATACACAGAAGCGATCGAGAAGAGACTGAAAAGACTCCCTCTGTTCTCCTCGGCATTGATTTCGAGCCGGTATTCAGCCGGCGTTCGTTTGACTTTCAAGACGCGATTCGAATCCGATCGAATCTCTGCATGGACAGTTTTTCCAATGCACTTCTCACGGAGGTGATCGTTGTCCAAGTGCTCTGAATTGATTTCGTTCCGAACAGGCTTTCAGCGAATTTCGGTACACGAACGTGGTTTTGGAAACTGAGGCTCTTACGAATTTACTATCGTGCTTAAATTGCTGTGCGTTAGATCTCCATTTGTTGACATTGAACACAAAATTGCAACCCGAATTACTACGTATTAGATTGTCACACGTTCTATCAACCCTCCGCGTGTGAACTTATCATCCTAACGTACAATGCAATATCAGCTCATGGATAAAGAAATATTCCCTGCACGAAAAAGACGGAAGAATTCCGAGTAAACAACGCGTCGTAAAAGGGAAAGCTCGCCCTCCAGCTAGAAATGATGAAACGGCACCGAGAATCTCGAAACGATCGACCCTTTACCCTCGTAGATTTTTCCCTGGCGGTGAATAAAGGGTATTACTCGAAGAGAATCGAACTTACCATAGACTGCATCGTACGATAAGTGTGTGTTCCCGCTCGAACCTCCTTGCTCGTCGAAGGACTGTTCGGCCTGTGCACCTTGCTTCCGATCCCGTTTTGACTTATATACATGGCGGAGGGGACGAGCGAGCCAGCGACCGGTGTCTTCGAACCAGGAACCAGCAGAATCGTCGAAGGACAAGCTGATACGTTGACCGAATACTCGTAGACGGGATCCCTCGATCCTGGATCCGGGATCCGCGAAGAATCGTCGTTGCCACGCCCTTCGCGTGGCTGGTTTCTTCGCCGGGATCGTTTTATTTGCCGGTTTCTCCGTTTTCTCGTTTTTCACCGCGTCACGTGAACGCTGGAACTAGATACGCGTTTTCTGTAATGGACCACGAATACCTTTCGAGGATGGGGTTCGAGGTAGTCGCAAGATATACACACTTGGTACTTTGCGCCTCGGCACTTTAATGACTACGTTGTATGGAAGTCGCTGAAATAATGTTGCGGTTACCGATGATTAACGATATTCGTACTTAATGGACCTTTGTTTTTTAATAACATTTAATTACGCTACTATTATGCAGGCGGACGCATAGGGTGCGTCTTCATGTTGCATCAATTAACGTCACACGCACACGAAGCGTCCTTGTACTACATTGATTAATATAAGACGCTTACAACGTGGCCTTGTATCGCATTAATTATCATGGAACGCAAATAACAGTCGAAGAATTGAAATATAATCTGACTATGCACAATCGTAATTAACGTCATTAGTTCATCAAGGTTCTCGTTTATTAACGGCAAGACCGCAGGCCTCTTTTTTTGCTGCTCACCGCAAGATCCCTTGATACAATGAACGACGTGATTGCGTTTCGTCGTAGCCTTACGCGCCAACAATTCGACCGACCTTGATCGAACGCATCGCCGGTATAAGCGAAATTATTCGCCTGCCGCAGCTTTTTTACCTCTCGACCGCGAACAGCCGTGGAATCCGCCCTTTTCCCGCGACAAAATCAACTCCGATTCTCCTCGACCTTGACGCGACTGACCCGGACGCGGTCGCCAGGGCGCGAACATGTTTCTGGTAAAAATCATCGAACAAAAGTGATTGTACTGCCGCGTGTCGCATGCTGAACTTAATCCTGCTCACTTTCCGCAGGAATTATAATTTGTCACTGTCTTCTGGACACGGAGGATCCCGGCGCGGTTTCTGTGCTCCTTCGACCGACAACCTTGTGGAATTTTAGATTGAGAGTGTCGTATACCTAGAAGAATTTCAATTTATCAGAAAGAAGGTTTGGAAAAATGTGGACAACGTACGAATTGTTTTGACGTTGATAAATTTTTTTATTTATAAATATTGTACATTTTCTAATAATCGGAGCACGGGGTTCTCGGTAAATCCATTATAAGAAGCACGTTCCTATTCCTTAAGGGGATTCCTCGCTTGTGACCGGTGAGAAGTTAACGTGTAACTCCGCGTAGGCGATCCTGGGTCTTTCTCGTTCGTAGATATCGCTGTGGCCGATCACCTTGATGCCCGTTTGTTCTCCGGCTACCGAGCGTGGCTAACCACGCACGTAGGAAGTGACAACGTTCCCTCGTAGGCGAGCGTACACGCCAAAAGCGTGGATAATCAGAGGCAATAGACGTTCCTCCGCGATAAAGGAACAACAAGGAGGCAAAAGCTGGGACAATGTATGGGCAATAATCGTTGGAAGAGCCGTGGAACGACGCGTAACGAATGCGTATATTCCATGCATCTTCTAAATTAATTGCACCCTGAACATTGCTCGTTTCGCTATCCACTTCTCCCTTTTTGCAATGATTTGAGTCGCTTGTCAAACTACATTTATCGTAAGAAGAATTTTCAATTTATCGCATAGAAATTGAATTTTTATACTTGTCATACGTTTTGTACGATTTGATAATATAAACAGAAAATAGTTCCTCCTTTATTGGAACAACAAAATCAATTTGTACTTTAATCTTCAAACTGATATGTTATATGCGCTATTTTATACTTTTATGTCGTCAAATAATGTTCGAACATTTAAGTTAATCTCTCAACCTAATAAATCTCTCCTTGTTAAATTAATTACAATTTATCGTTGGTGCATGTTAACTCCAAAGCTTTTTGTCCGAAGTGCCTACAAAGCGGATCGTCAAATCGACTTATTTCATGGATCTCAAGGTGGAACGACGAGGCACGTCCTCTCGAAAAGATTTCTAAAGGTACGTTCATACCGCCGTAATCTTTACACCATGCATTTATGCCGACAAATTTTTACAATGAACGTTTCGGGTAGAGTTAACTCCTACTTAACGGGACGCGCAGATGAACTTTTTATTCTCATTGTTGCGGTTGTTAATGTCAAAGCGCTTGTATTCGTGCAACATACAGCTCGCCGAGCCGGTGTAAACGTGGACCAGGACTCGGGAAAGATGCACGGGTTTACGGACAGTAAAACGTTTTTGAAAAAAAGATGGAATACTGGAAGCCTCGTGAACCACACCCACGCTCCCTGAGATCCGGCCACATATTTGCGGAGGTCGCCTCGTGTCGTAAACAACATAAACATAATGCAGTCGTGAGTCGAGCCGATGGACCACACCCGACGTACACACGCACGCACACGTATGCGCCGCGTCACGAGAACTTCGCTCCCTATCGTAACAAGAACCCTGTCTGACATTAGTTTTCGCGCCAGAGAAGAAGCGAGAGTAAAAGCTAACAGAATAATCAGCCCTTCGATAAGTCCCGCGATCCAAATAAATCTTGTCAGATAACGTAGGATTTTTGTTGATAAGTTGTTCGAACGCGAGGACATTTGATACATTAACGTGATACCAAATATTGTGTGTATACTTTAATTTAATTTTCAATGTCATTAGTTAGAAACATTATGTAGTGTCATGATTTATGTTTCTTCTGGCTCGATTTTCAAATACAACACTTGGAATCCTCTAATAACTGTCATTCTTAGGATTTTAGTCGTTTCTATTGCCTTGTAGATGCTGGCGGAAGTCATCACTGGTTCATCATTCACATACGTTACGACGTCACCGGGTTGTAAACCACCTCTGAAATATATATATTTGGTTATTTGATTGATAATACCGATAGTATTAGATTTATAAAACGTACAAGTGCGCCGGTGATCCTGCGATTACTTTATAAATAAGAACTCCGTGATTGATGTCTGGCATTCCTCGCGATTTCTTTTGTAATGCGTAAATGAGATCGGGTGTTAGAGTGAGCAATGTCACTCCTATGTATTTTGTCTTATGTTCTTCTACAATGTTCTTTGTACCTAATATAATATTTATGTTATTTTACGGTTTTTATATTGTGCAAGGTTTAATTTTTTATTATATTACCTGACTTGCTTCTACGCGCTTCCGCTCTCTTTAAGAAATCTTTAGCATAATCTATAGGTATTGCAAAAGAGATACCAGATGTCACTTTCATTACATTGACACCAATTGCCTCACCATTCAAATTAACTAATGGACCACCTGAACTACCATCCTAAATAGTAACAATAATTAACAAAAATATGTTCAAGGTAATTAATTTAATAGAACCATAAAATACTAACAGTTACTGTAGCATCTGTTTGAATATAACCTAACTGTTTGTGATAAAGACCTAGTTCTTTACTATCTCTGTTCACGCTACTTATTACTCCACTAGTTATTGTATTGGTTAAAGTTAATGGAGATCCAATAGCAACTACAAATTCCCCTGGTCTAAGATCTTGTGAACTACCAAGTTTCATTACTGGTAGATTAGTCTGTGGAAACAAATCATGATTAATAGAAACATACAAATAGAAAAAATAATTAAATGCAATATATTGCAAACCTGTTTAATTCGTACACTTGCAAGGTCACAGTGCATATCCATATCCTCCACTGTGCCAACATATGTAGTTCCATCATGAAGCCGAACCTATAAAAAATCATATAAGAATTATTGAAAGAATATTTTCAAGATAAATATGTAAAACATTAAGTTCAGAATTACCTTAACTGTTGTATTAGGTTTATTAGTTACAACATGAGCATTTGTTAATATTAAGCCATCGGATCTAACAATGAAACCAGATCCAGATGCTATTCTCGATGGTAACCCTGTGATAAAATCATACCTATTTCCTCATTATTGATTGCTTGAATGTATGTTGTCATTAATGTTTATTCTAATGATATTTGCACTTACGTTTTATTATTCTGAATTTCAATGTGTACTACTGAAGGAGCTGTAGTCTCTACTACATCAGCTATGAAATTATACTTCATACGATTATTGTTACCATCAAAGTTAAGCGATTTTGCGTGTATCGTAAATATGGATCTCATCCAATTGCTAAATCGGTTTGGATAATCCGTTTGCCATTTGTACAAAATATAACCACAACCGGTAAAGAATACGGTACAGAGTAAAACATTTCTAACAGTATTATCCAAAATTTGAAATCTCTTCTCCTGTGAAGACGAGTGCTTGTATTTCCCAGATTGAGTCGCGTACGAAAGTGTTAATAATTGTTTATACTGTAACTGACTTTTTTTCAAAACGTTCCAAGAAAAACGCGTAATGGGAGCAGCCATCTTTTGGCGTAACCCAATGTGGAACTGTCAGGTATGGTTAGAACACGACTGACAACTTCAAATACTTGTAAATGTATATCTTACATCGATAAAAAAGTTACGCTATGAAAATATTTGATGGCAATGTTTATTTTCAATTAATAAAATTAGGTCATTTCTTTATTTTTTTCTTTACATTCATAATCCCGTTTGATTGAGCGTTTAATTTCTTCTTTTTATGTATTTTTGACAGTTTAGATTTCTGTACAGTTTTTACTTTAAGTTCTGGGGTGGTCTTTTTCTTTTTTCTTTCGTTATTTTTTCCTTGACTTTCCAATGTTTTGTCAAGTAGTTTCTTTCCTTTTGCATCATGTTTATTTGAATTTAGTTTTCTCTTCTTTTTGTTACCCACTACATCTTTTTCACTATTGGCTTTACGTTTTCGAATTTTTTTAGTTTTCTTTTCATCTACTGAATCATCTTGATTGGTATCACAGTCGTTTGCAACATGCCCTGAAAATATTAAAATGTATTATACCCGTTATTACATTGTAATTATTACCACATTATAAAAACTATATACCCAATTGGCCACATTTAAAACATTTCCCTGTAACTTTTGGTTTCTGACCACATGCGTGCTTCACTGCAGCACATCTTTCACAAGTTTCACAATGTTTCCAAGACGGTTTTACGCACCGTTTGCATTTATTACAATGTTCGTATGTCAAACCGTTTTTGGAAGTACATTCTTTACATTTCTTACAATGTTTGTTTTCTTGGGCAACCCACTTTTTACATTTCTTACAATATTTGTATCCATCTGATTCAGGAAGTTCTATTAAATGCAATGGCACATTTGTAAAAAGTCTGATAGGTGATGATTTCTTTGAGGCTTTAGAACTTGTTACAAATAAAGGATGATTCTCATAAGATACTTTGTAATCTGACATTTGCAAATCTTTTAAACCACCAGATAGATCCACTGGATTACTCTTTTGTTTCATAATGGATTCCATGTAGTATGGAAATATGAACATAATTTTTAAGCAATCAGTTTCATTTTCTATGTTATTCCATTTTTTGTGGAGGTCAGATATCCTTTTCAGAGTCCATGATATTGGTTCTACCCTACTACCAAATGGTGGATCACATACTACATATGTGTCCTTTCCTCCATTTTGCATAATAAAATCTTTGAAAACATAATTAGCATTTTTATCAAAAAAATGGTTGTTCAATAAATTATACCAACAGTAACTTAATGGTCCAAAAAAGTTGTGCTGTAAATTAAAACATAAGATTTAACAGCTTGTCAGAATTTAAAACATGTGTTAAGAGGATAAACTTACAAATCTTCCATCAAAATCTAATAAAAGAGAAGATATTCTATCCTCATATTTTTCTAAAATATATTCATGGATTTTTGGTGAACAAATACATAGAACTTGCTTTGCATCAAGCTTTACAAGTATATTTACAATATCCTCTGTCGATTTCTTTGTGAAAAAATATTGAGCTTCTTGTCTAGAGTTTGTTAAAGGTTTTAAAATTTCTGTAGGATGCTTCATTTCATAGTCTGTAAGACCTTCCTTTATTTCATGATCTTTATGTTTGTCTTCTTCACTCTTACATATTAACAATTCACAGGTATAACAATAACACCTTCTTTCTGGCGGTACAGCTATTACTTCATTAAAGCGTATATATAATGACCTGTGATGATATTGAGAAGCATACTGTTTTCTTTTTTGCTCCCATTTAATTTTTTCCTGGTTTTGCAATTGGTCCCCTTCTTTTAAATAAAATGTGCAATCTTTTCTTTCACGGCATGCTGAGCACACATAAAACTTTTTCAATTCACCATTTTCATATTTACCAAATAATAAAGTCGGCCCTAAAAAAATTGGATATTAAACATATTTCTTGTATTGTTAAACAACAATATAAGAAATTACCATGTGGACACTGAGGATGTGTGCTAGGATCAGACCAAAAACACTCCATGTTAAATAGCAAATAAAATATACTCTAATTAGCTACGTTATCATTTGTTATTTATAAACGTTATTAAAGTTTACTATTTTCCATTTGATAATCTATTAATTTGTGAAACTAAACACCTCACACATCACGTGTGAAATGTTTATATGTCGCTTCACGTGTTAGATGGTGCTCATGAAGCGCCAAATTATTGTACATCTTGCGCATATGAATTCTACATTGGTAATGCGCATGCGTCGTTTTAAAATTTTGCGATTGAAAAATTTAGCAATTTAGAAATTTGAGAATTCCCAGATTTATTCAGGTTGATTCAAATTTAGACAAATATTCCGTATAATTCAGCTATCAATATAAATTCGTTTGAATGTCGATAGAATTTAATTTTCAAATCAACCGCCATTTGCAACAATCGATACTGCTCTGAGCGTGGCATTATCGAAACGAATTTGAATAGTATTCGAGAGTTACCGGTGCGCGTCGAATGTGTCCGTAGTGCTAATTAATTGTTATAATTGATTCGTTCTTGTGTATAAATTAATAGAAGAACTGCAGAGCCACTGCTGTTTCACGCATCGCTGCGTTTATGTGAGTAATAAACATGTTTTTATTCATAATAGCAAATAACATACTAAGATGTTACTAGCTTTCTCATTTTCCCTCGTTTTGTTGAATTTCATTTAGGCAAGAAAGGAATGCATTAATTTTAATTCATTGCATTTTATTATAACTTTCTTTTACTACAATTGCTATGTTGCTTGCTTTATCACATGTATACATATGTTTTCAAAAATGTAACTGCTAATATATAAGGCAATTTAAGCCTCTACAGGCTATTAAACATCTTCGTGCGTTGTTTGTCATGATTGTTTATAATGTGCTATTGTAAAAATACAGACAATATATATACGTCATAATATTCGAGTGTTCAACTTTAATTGGACCATACAATGTCTTAAATATGAAAAAAGGAACAAAAATATAGATTCCATTTTTTTTTAATAATAGTTATAATACTGTATCAATAAATAAATATTTCACAAGTAGTTAAAGTTACATTAAAAAAATAAGCTGATTTACCTAAGATGAACGAACAAACATAAATCTCTTATAATAAATTTTACTAAAGCAGTAAAAACAATGCTGTCTTCTGTATACTTTAAAGCATTCCTAAATGATCTACAGAACCAACACACCATTTAATTTTATTTTTACTTTTTTTCTGTTACTTCAGGCTGTGTTTATTCTGCTAGATTATATCACAGACTATCCATTTGCAATTGGGAAAAAACATTCACTAGAAACCTTATTTGTAATAATTCTACCACATGTCTGTGCAACTATGAAATATTTAAAGTACTATAATTAAATTTAAATCACCCATATATACAAGAGTTTAACTATCTATATAATGTCATAACTCATATCGTTTGGTCTAAATCGTTATATAGCATATTAAATAACAATGTGTACCTTTTATGATGCATTTCTTTTTAAATATTCAGTTAACTATAATATACATAATACTGCAACTATGTATATGTACGAATACTGTGATATTTTTGTTTCTTTTTTTGGAATCACTTGTATGTTTCAATTGGAATTCTATATGAAAAGGAATATAACATTTTGAACGAAGCACGTTTGTGTTGTACATATATCCAAAATAACTCTCAAACTTATATCAGTTTCCATGTTATAGTAGTTCTAATGATTCGGTTGCTATTTCTTCACTCCCCAATTTACTAATACATAATTATCAGTACTAGTCTCTGTGTCGTACACCTATCTAAAAACCAACGCTCCTTTTTGTCGTAACTCATCTTGCCTATACTTTCGCGTCAGTTCATATTATTCGTTAAACTACATTTAAAATCATTTCTCATATATACATAATTGACTACGAAGCTTCTTCGATTGAACTTGCTGCATAAATAGATTTTCAGCTAATGGGTCATATTTATAAATATACAAATACACATGGGTCTAAATATTTATACAAAATGAAAAGTATAACTTATATTACATGTAAATAAAATTATGTGTAAGAGCAGGAAAATATCATTATGCAGCAAGTACTGGAGCTTTCAAAGAATGCTGGATTTAAATTTCATCGTACAAGCATACGCATTTTGGTAAAGTCACAATTCCGATTTCTAGCATCTAAATGCATTTCTAGGATTCTGGTTTCGTAAAGTCCATACAAAGGCTGTCGCGATGAAAACTTTTGTATAAATACGCCAAAAGCATTTTACGAATAGACAGTTCGTTTAGGCGTCAAGAGCAAATCGTTTCCCATCAATATAGAATAATAGAAAATTTGTAAATAGATACACCAATAGATTTCTGTAGATTGAATATTGACCACATTGTACTTTTGAGAAGTAATTTTCAATATGAACGTATCGAAAGGATCTCGTAAAGTTAACAACTCTCTCTTTGCACAATATTTTAGCAAGTTGGCAGTAATTCAAGTTCAAAAGAATAAAATGTGTTAGACGTGTGCACTGAGATTACAATAAAAACATGATTCTCTTACAACACTATGCTCAGGAAATGCTAAATGTAAAGTTCACTCAGAAAAATGTATCCTCATTTCTATTATGCTATCTAATGCACTCGTGTTGTAATCGTTTGGCTTCTGCTGTGTATTACGTTCACTCTATCAGACACATAGATTGTAAACTATTCTCAAAAACTTTATAAAGCAATTAGCTTAGATTGACACGAACCCCATCTCTCTTGTAACTTTTGACGTTGTTCCATGTGATGATCTGAAAGATTCTTCAGCAGTCCCACCTGCCCTGACTTCAACTTTCTAGGATCCAAGTTTGCTCCTAAATTTTGCATTCCTTTAGCGAATTTCGAGAAAGGCGATAGAATATCTTTGGCAGTAGCTGCCACTGGACTCGTAACATTAGTAATGTTAGTCTTTATCGACTTCAAAGCAGATTCGCTCTGAGAGGATGTAATGTTCAGAGTTAAATCTTGTTCAGATGTTGATCTCTTCTTATCTTGAATCCTGCTATCTGTCTGCAGCATGTTGCTATTTATGTTGCTGAGTATTAATTTGCTATCGACTTCTCCCGTTGAATGACTAATATTTTTGGAGAGATTCAACGACGTTGGTGGAACCAACCTCTCATTGTCTTCCATTAAGGGCTCAGTTACATTTATTTCCGGCGTAGTTGCTACGGTCCTTTGCGGAGAAGCACTCAGAGTGCTTGTTCCAGAGCCAGACTGTGGAACTGCCAATGCTTCTCCGATGGAGCTCTGCTCAGACAATTTATTCGGTCTTATCGATAAATTATGAGATTCGTTGTTCTTGTCGTTTTCTACTACGTCTGCATTTTTTACACCCATTATGATACCAATAGATGGAGTGTACGCTTCCATTAGATTCTTATCATGTCTGAAGTTGTCTGGCTTTTCTAAAGGAACAGGTGGAATCTTTGTATCTTCATCGTCGCTACTGCTACTGCTACTGTGATGTTTCCCTTGTACATTGCCAGATATATCCCTATTTCCAACGGTAAATGTAGGTTTCGACGGAGCGTCAGTCTTCCTCCCGATGCTTCTAGCTAAATCTATCGGCTTCCTGGCACTAAAGCTATGACTTAACTTATTTAATTTGCTAAATTGCTCTGACATGTTGCTTAAAGCTTTCGTTCCTGCAATCATGGCATTTTGTAGATTACTCGTTTGGATTTGAAAATGAAACTTGATGCTGATAAAAGTTTTTTACCTGCACTTTTAAGGGCTAATAACTGTGTTTCTGAAACGTTTCTGGTCAATTCTGGAAACGATGATATATCCAGAAGACCAGTAGATCCTCTACTGTTGACTAACTTACTCTTTCGTCTGTCCAACGTGACGTTCATTGCTACAGTAATCTTTGGTAAACCTGCTATTTCCGTTGCTACTGAAATAGCTTCACAGATTGCTTTTAACGATTCTGCAACATATAATGATACGTCAGATTCCAAAAGTCAAAGTTGCACAAAACTTATAATCATACCTATACTTTCTTCTTCGGTTTTCACGACAACGGCCATGTTATTAAAAAACCGAAGATTTGTACTGCGGAACATGTGGAAGTAGCCATACTCATTGGCCATCTTATAATTTATTCTAATGCAATAGAAATGCTTATTCTTAAAGAGAGAGATTGAACTTTCAGGCTGGCCAAATTCGATTAATATAATATCTTCCAGTGGAACTCTTTGGTAGTTTGTCACTTTATCAATCTGATCATCATAGTCGGCAACATAGTAACTGTCTCGTGTCAATATTAAAATAGTATCCATTTCTGTTTCCGTTGGATCGCCAGTTCTGTTGAAAAATATTTAATCAGAAAAAGAAACTATTTTCATTATTAAAAATTAGAACATGTGACGTACACAGGATCAGCATCGATAAGACCCCAACTGCCTAGAATAATTTCTGGATCTGGTATAAGTAGTTTCTTGCAATCTTCTATTAGCAGTTTCACATGAATCGCAGTGGCAGCATTGTCTTCCTCCTCGGTACGCTCTTGAAACACTTCCTCGCTTACAGAATTTCCTAACATCATATCGATCGTGGCTTGTCTATAAACATCCTTGAAACGATTTAAATAATATCTGTAAAAAGAAATAAAAAACTTCTGAATATCTGCGTGAAAATTATAAACGATGTAATAAAAAGAGAAAACGAAGTAGTAGTGGTAACAAAGATAGAAGGGTAAGAGAAATTGGGGTTTTCAGGATTAAAATCAAACTGTAAGTCAAGCGCCTATCATGCAACCGAAATTTGTTCGTGCAAAGCAAAATCGGATTCGTTATAATAAGTGAAGTCGTAGTTCTGTTATCCTGCTGTTTATTTAATACATAAATAAACAATAACTTTATTCGTATTTCGTCGAGTTGAATCTTTTAAGGACGCAACCAAGAACGAACCTTGCTAAATTATACATAGCACTGGCACAAAGAAAGTCAGGATAAGTAGCAAGTTGAAGCTCTATATTTGGTGGTTTCGCGGGAATCAACTCAAGGCAGCAATAATCTAGGATGCGCAAATATTGTGACCAATCGGTATTCAGTTGATTAACATCGATAGGTTTCCCTAGCATGGCATCTATTGCCGCTTGACGTATGTCATCCAGAAAGTGTTGTTGAAAATATCTATGGGAAAATGAAAGGATAGTGTCAAGGATTTATGCACGTACAGACATATAATTATTCAAGTAGTGATTGTGAATTGTTTTTAAAATAAATAATTACAATGTCCACAGAACGTGTATTCGTGAAGTGGTCCGAATAATGATTAATAAATCTAAAATGACGTATCGTGTGGGATAAGTGAATGAGAATAGTGTTCTATGACAACGTAGGACACAGTATTTTAATTGCTGTCCAATTGTACCTGTTCGCAGAATTCATGCCATCTTTCATTAACCCAGTAAATTTTCTTTCCCCCGTTCTTGTATAATCTCCCTATAATCAATAAGAAACCAGTATGACAGAAGTTCCTAGGGTTTCAATTAAAATTGCTCGCAAGGTTATTCGTAAAATTATCGAGTTGGTACAAAGTACGAACCTTCAGAGCGTTTGTACCAGCATACTGTTTACTGATAATGTCGCCATTATTGGCCCAAAGCAATTGAAACGTTTGTCTGATGTTCGTCGGTAACGTTCCGTCTGGTGGTATTAGACCTAGCTTCGAAAACTGCATTTCCATCACGGCTTTACCCAAAGCGGTTTGCACCACGTTCGTTCTATCTAAACAATCTATGCAATTCACCCGAAACACTCCCTTCTGCATGCAAATTGTGCCTTGCTTATCGCGCCAACAATACTTCATCTCTGTCAATACTGTAGCTAATGCATTGACCAGAATAGACACATTTTCAAAATGCATTCCTCGACTGTGTTAGATAGAAAAGAACATTTAGCAACAATTCAACATTCAAAGTATTTCAAACCTTTCCCAGATGCTTACCAATACTCGTGGAAATCGAAACTCGTATACGTTATGTCAGGATGATCGTAATTAAGAACGTGATTACTATAAGCTTCCCAAATGATCTTCTCTTTGCCTGTTTGCTCTACGAGATTCACAATACAGATTGGGCCATATAAATCGAGTTCTTCGTGAAAGTGCTTTTCAAACGCTACCTGCGTTTCTGCTTCGTCTGAAATATTACAAAATATTATCGATACAACGAATTTCAATGAAAATATCTTTGTTTAATTACCTTTATCGATACGTGGTGGCGGCTTATATTTATAGCCAGGTTGAGACCAATACACAGGTACACTACCTCTTACTTGTACGAAAGATACTTGGTGATCATGATACCAAACTAGTTGCTCTGTTTCGACATAGTTTGCGCATTTTCCTTCGTCATCGACACCACGACGTTTATATCTTTATAACAATAAAAGAAAGTGTTTTGTTTCCACGTAAATAGAATAGAAAAGTAAATATAAATAAGTAGTTACCTCGTGCCTGCACGAAACCTACTTCTTCTAGATATAATTGCTAAGTTAAAGGTTTCATGTTGAGGTTGTTCATCAATACCTACTTCTACTTTGCATTTTTCTATTTGCACATATCCCTGAATTACTGGCAATATCCAACAAGTTGCTTTGTCTGTCTACAGAAATAAAATGCTTTCTAAACAACACGTATGTTACAATATAAATAAATATAATTGAGGAAGATCCTAACTTTTAGATTTATTATATCTTGTAACATGTGCTTGTTCCAAAAAAACCTGTCATCCACTCTTTGCCAAAGTGGTCTATTCAATTCTTCTTCATTCTGTTGTGACTCTGCAATGCAAAGTCTCTGTAAACTATTAGTAATGTCACCGGTTTGACAGAAATAAAAGGAATCAGTTTCTGTAAAAATTTTGTTCAATTCTTCCAAAATTCTCCTTTCAAATCTCTCCTTGTCTTTAACAATGTTTCTTTTAGATACCGTAGATTTTACCTATAAATATTTTGATTAATAGTTTGATTGTATCCTTTGCATTTGTGTTATATTAAAGTGATATACCTGAGATGTTGCAAGGGCAGCTGCTTGTTGAGTCGTGTTCTTTATAGTGTTTGTTGCACTTTTAATGGTTCCCCATGTTTTAGCAAAGGCTGCTTTCTGTGGTACATCGAACAAACCACCTTGACTTTTTTTCTTTGGCAAATTTTGATGTTTCTTACATGGCAGAAGTCCAATATCATTATTTTCTGTGCCAAAATGCAAAAATGCTATAGATTTGATCTTATATACAATGTGACCTCCATATAATTCTCCAGCTGGTGAAATCTCTTTGATCAACATTAAGCGTGGTTCCAGAACAGAAGGCTGTTCTATTTTTCCAACTATTCCATAAAATATTCCAAGACATTCTAAATCTTTTGGTGAAGCCCATTCCCAATCTATGAAACAATTTCCATCATGTAAATCTTTTATAAAATCTTAAACCATATTATGTTTTCTTTGATTCTATCAGCTGAAAAATAACTTTCACATATTTACATAATTCATGAACTATATCTATTGTGAAATTATATACGGGCGACTACCATTAAAGGTATTCCCTCGGCTTGTCATTATTTTAACAACATTAATTTAATTACGAGTTAATATAATAATTCTGACATATTAAATGTTACCAAAAAAAAACGGATTTATGAAATAAAGTAACATGACGTTTCCTAAATTGTGATCCACAGCAAGTTAACAAGTTTAGATATCAGAATAAGAAACAAAGAATTGCACAGTGTTATGTTTGACAGAACTTTGTATGCACTTTTGTTAAACGTTCCTGTGTATACCCACCCGATTTAGCAGAAAATTCTCCTGTAAACTTGTCACACCACAGGCTATGCCTTTCTTTCACGAAAATGAAATGAGTGTCAGTACGGAACAATTCCATGCTTTTAATTTTTCCGAGAAACAATGATTTCTACGCAGCATGAGTAACGTCAACTCTTCCGACGTTCGTCCACCTATGACGGACACCTCGCCATTTTGCTCGTACGTGAGGCTAACAATGAACTGAATTTCGCTGACTATACCTACTTTCGATCAAAGTATAGATGGCGATCGGATAAATACAAAATGAATTATATTTACATTACTAATCATTTTCATATCTTTATCTTAGGATTTGCGGATAATTTCATATGTCGAGTACTCGAGCTGTGGCTCGAATACGAAAAAAATTTCATTCGGTATCGGGTGGGAGATAAAATCAGGATTCGGAAATTTAAAAATTTTTACAAAATTAACGAAATGAAAAGTGAATGAAAAACAAACATTTCATTACTTGAAATACATAAGGTTTTATTTCGATAATTTGTGATTACATACTTTATATATGTTTCACAATATAACTGATAAGTACATCATAAATACAAAGAAGCGTGTGAAAATATGCGAATAATGATTAGTTAACATTATTATTAATATTATAGTTATCATTCATGGAAGAATATTTGAGAGATGTATCCTCTTTTTACAAGTTCTTCTTTATATAGAATTTAGATCCTTGCATTATATTTATGATAATTGATGATGAAGTTTAGACTTATCCTTATACGAAGTGGAAAGAAGTGATAAAATTTAACAAATATTTAACACAGTGGAAAAAGATTTACTTGCTCCTTCCTTCATTTTCTTCAAAATTTCTCTTCTCCTCTTTAGTCTTCTCAATGATATATTCTTGCCATTTTCTGTGATTTAAAGTTTCAAAGTCATCAACTTTAGCTATCAGTGTCAAATAATGAGACAATCTCACTAGCTCCCTGTCTTTTCTTCTAGTAATGTGTGCATGCCGGAATGGCTTTATTTTCAGTCCTGATTGTGGATTCATAATGAAGTTTCTCCTAATGTCATCAAACATTATAGTGTTCTTAGCAGAGAACTGCTTATATTTTCCCCATATGACGGCAAGAGGTTTTGCCATGATTGTACCATATTTTGACGTGTGAACATTGATCATAGCATTTGAATCAAGGTGACAAGCTATTTTATAATGTTGGTTATTAGAAACCCCGAGTACCTTCATCTTTTCATTGATCCATTTCATACTGGTTGCAGACCAAATCACTATGTCATAGTAAAGATAAGCCCATGTCAGAAACTGGTGAAGGAAAGGCCGCATTAATTCTGCACCAGTTTCTGCTGTTGACTTGTTATCAAAGATTGTATAGTCTATGTCGAGTACCAATAATTTCTTTCCTTCTCTGAACGGATTCAACTCTACAAACTTGTAAAAATTGATTCTACATTGAATTTGAAACATACAGATTTTCACATTCTCAATTTCTATCTCTTCCTCTTCGACCTTGAAATCATTAATCACATCAGGCATATTCTTCGGTGCATGACGAGCTTCGGCAATATCCTCCTCGCGAGAACCCATCAACATGAGCTTAAAGCCAGGTTTCATACCCAAGTTTCGTAAGATCTCCTCATCTTGAGATGCTTTGTCTGGTGGAAAGAAAGATACTATAGACACTTTAGGAACTTTAATTAAATCTAACAGTAAGTCTGACTAGTCTCCTAAATAAACAGATTTCAAAATATTATTGGTAGTAAATTAAAAACGAGAAAGTTGTTTAAAGACAATTTTAATGTACATTGGTAACAAGTAAAGTATCTACATTATACTAAAAAAGACAATAAAGGGTGAAGGACCGTGAGAACAGTTCAAAACATAACCTTTGGTTTTGACGTTCAGAAGCTTCTGACGTTCCGGAAGTATCCCAGTTTCCTTGTGTATTCGTTCTTTCAGACCTCGCACAGTATCACCAAGATCTACGTCTGGGATTTCGATCTTCTGTCGACCCCATACTATGGTAATCTTTCCTACATGCTCCATTTTTATTTTCGAAAATACAATGACGCGACACCAAACGATAGACAATACGAAATACACGAGCGTGTACAATCACATTGTACAGTGAACGTACACTATAATACCTGATAATACCGTCAATAATTGTGATACACAATACACCTTTGTGTCGATATTGCAATGCGAAACTTCTCCTTCCTCCGGGTGGCGTTTCTGGATAATTCTCCAGGCAGTGTTACCACCTCAACAATTCATATCGTATTTGCGAAGTTATATTTTAATTAGTACATCAATAATACTGACAATTGTATCGTTAAATAATTAATTACACGAAAGTATTGTGCTGGAGTTATTTTTATATTTCTACAATTTCGTATAATTTCGCGCTTTCAGAAGAGAGTGCCAGCGATATCTTACGGTTAAATATGGAACTGAGTAGATGGTACAATCGGTAATTTACCGGCTTGGGTCATACTGAAGCGCCTCCTCTCGCAAACTATGCACATCGCGTCGATAAATTCAATTTCTTCTGTGATCGTTTCTCGCAAGTGCTTCGATCACCGTCCCTAGTATGATCTTCAGAAAATCACAGAAATTCTGATCTCATAAAAATTCTAGAAAGTTACTAAAGCTGAAGAGTACTGAAAAGACTAGGAAAATCTTAAAGAACTTTTTGGGTAAGAAGGAGGATAAACGTTATGTACAATTAGTAATTACTCGCACTATTTTCATTTGTTTTGAAATAGTGCACCTCGAAAGCGAGACAAAGCACTCTAAACAGAGCGCATCCGAACAGAAAGCACACTCGAGGCTCTCTTCCTTGAGTCCATGTCCTAAATTGTCTAGCAAACAGGGTCCAGTGTCTGTTTGCGCGTAGACACATTAGCCTTTCCGTAGCAATCTAAACATTACGATTGTCGGTGTGCGTTCGGTAATTGCATCTTGGTGTCAACGTTGCAATATACCTGGGCTTGTTAGTCAATTTCCGTAGAAGTTCATTCGTGTGCTTCTGCTGTCCAAACTTCTCGGCATGATTAATGTACAAAGGTTTTCATAGAAAGGTAAAAAGAAAGTCTGGTAACTTTCAGTTTACTTAATCCGAAGTTCTTAAATAAAGAAGCTCGACGGTCTTGAATCTGATCGTCTCGAATGTTTCGAACATACTTGTTTCACGGTAGAAGCCGGTGTCTACACGAGGGATGGAAAGAAAGGTAATAGAAGAAACGAGACATAGTCGAGGGGGATGATCGATTGGAGGGAAGGAAGCGAGAAAAGAAGGGGATCGTGAATGCAACGGCACACTCGATGCTACTTTGAGAGGCTCCTATAGAATTCTACGGCGAAATGCCTCGCAGCATTCCAACAAACAGCAACAGCCCTCGTCCCTTTCTGTCGGTGAACTTATCGCGAGCTCCTATTCTCTCCTTTATTTAACCCCTCCGTTCTGACCCACATGGCCGCCGACTTATATCTGCTTCCAATTAAAAGAACGGAATTGGATCGCGTTAAAAAAAGCCGAAAGGAAGCGGCGCTGACCCCTCCTCCCTCCATCGTTGGATCGAGAGAAAAATCCCTGGCAAACAGGAGAGGGAAGGTTCTTTCAGAGCTGACCGAACCTCTGGCAACACCCCCTTCCTTCACGACCAACTTACCCCTGATTTCTCGCCTGGACGATTCTGTACTCGTTAAATTCCTTTGAACCGCGCCGAATGGCCTGCTAATTGTCTTACACGCATTTTTATCGCAGTAGTTCAAAATTACGATCATTGTATGATCGTTGAATCAATAAATGTATGAATCGTGAAGGCGATGCTTTGAAAGTGTAGAATGTTTGAAGCCAGCAATTACTATTGTAACGCAAACCATATACATTACGCCTCTGGCGTCCAGATGGTCCACAGTCAAAGCGCCAAGCAGAATGATTTAATGCTAATGAGCGTAATCCATTAATGATTCTGTGTGAATGTAGATAGGTATAATAGTCGATAATGTATTCCTTCAGGAAGGATACTATATTTTGACTAGCCACGATATCAGTGCATAGATTAATATAATGTTTCAATTGTAAACGACAATTAAAACGTTTCCAACAAGTCATAGGTAACGGTATTAATTTTGAACAAAAGTCTGCGACATCTGTGCGCCATCGTTCGTGTTTCACCGTGTCGTTAACGTTCGAAACCTTCGATCGGAAAAAGATATCGCTCGAATACTGCTTCTTTTTGCCAGGGATCTCGTGACTGCATCCCGTAATGCACAGCTGCGATTCTTTAATAATGCGTACCGTTGTTTATTTCAGGAGAACACGAACTCCCCTTGCAAAATACATACATCCTTTCCGCGCGAAATTGCCCTGTTAACTTACGTTTCAACTTATATGTTCTCTCGAAAAAATATTTATTGCATGAATTATCGCGTACAGTATTTATAGTGAAACGACGATAAGGTTATTGATGTAACAGTGTTGCGAGCAGTAATAATACATGTAACAGTGCAGTTATAATAGCGAGTTGATACAATAATATTTGTGATTTAATTTATAATTTCTGTTGCTGGCTGTAGAACGCAATAGAGATTGTAGGTCATACAGTTATTATTAGCTCCTTGCGGTTGTATTAAATTTAGACATGGGCGTCGTACTGTTTGGAATTTAGTTGCAAGCAGTTTCTTGCATGGCGAGTAAGAGATATTTTTGTTTCCAATTGACAGAAGAACCGTATTGATACATGAATGAATATATAAATTGATACACGAATGAATACAACGTAAGATTAATAACGTCCTTCGCTCTGAGAGCAGACAGAGCAAAGGGTTAGTTGTCAAATTATCGCGCAAGGAAGTGTCACGAAAAATGGCGAAACAAAGACGCTGTCGTTCCACAAAGGGCTTTGTGCCAATTGAATTTCTGCTCGCACATACGTTTGCTCGAGCAAGCGAGAAACCGACGAATTTTTGCGGCCGAAACACAGACGGGTCCTTCGTCTTGCCGCGAATTAATTACATTGGCGGGCCGAATTCGACGAATTTGCTTGATCAAATAGTCCGTTCGCAAACATTGACCGAGGTTTCGTCACCGGCGCGGTGCAAAAATATTTCTCGTTCGCTGGAATATTCATGGCGGCCGAACTGATCCGTTAATTAGCCCGCTGCGAGAAAAGTGAACTTTCATTAAATACGTTCGATCTATCGTTCATCGTTAACGAGCTCCTCGATTTCTGATCGACTGGCTCGATACTTACCCCTACGTGAATCATTTACGAGCGATACAATAAAACCAGAGAAGTTCATGACGGGTTCAGCCTCGTCATTTTTATTTAACTATTTTTTAACACTAAACCTACCAGCGTATAAAATGAAGTCAAAAAATAAATAAGCAAATGACTAAACATAAATTCGTACACACGTTAATTCTGCATCTTGATGGAGGTCAATGTAGATATCAGTAAGTGCGTTAGTAAGAAATTGAACATTGTGTTATATGTGTTGAGAGTTTATCACGTTGATGTTATTATATGTAGAATTTGTTTATGTTCTATGGATACTTGATACATAAGGAAGATATCTAAATTATTTTATAATTAACTGATATGTAAATAATCTCGACTGCAAATGTTTTCCTGTTGGACTTGAAATTATTCAACGATAACATGATAAATACTTTCCTGTTAGATAATAAAGTAAAATTATCGTTATTACGTGTCCAGAAATTTCTAACATTGGAACAGAACCTTATATTCAACTTATTGTAGGCAGTATTAAACAAATGTAGGAAGAAAATGAAAAAAATCACGATTCGGATTGTTATTCACAGTTAAATGATTATAAATTTAATTTAACAAGAGTTGTTCCATCAATTTCATGTACGAGCAATAACGTGTCAGGTTTAAAACGTAACGGAATGTTAAATAGTCGTAAAGCGTATAAATCAATCGTTGTCAAGCGTTAATTACAGTTGACGATTAGTTATGCTTCTCATAAAAAAGGGGTGTTACAGAAATCGATCGAAATTCGATATGCATCGAACACAGAAATCTGTGACCACGTTCACATGCAGGAAATCCCATGATTGATACCGGACGACACAATGTTGTCTGCGTATAATGCATAGTCGCGCATAGTGTATGCACACCATGCATACCGATAACTGCACCGTGAATGCGCACTGCAATAACGGCGATGCAACTCGATATGTAAACGCGAACAGGAAAATTAAATCCATTTCTAACTGTTGTGCATTGAAGAGGATAAATTATCGAATTTTGCTCTTTCACCGAAAATCCATTGTTTCAAACTTCATTTTTTTGTTACAAGTCATTGCTTTTTTACTAGTTTATTTATTTGGAGCTGTTAACCCTTTGCGCTCGAGAGGTGACTCACAGTTACTATTATATTTAATACGATAATTTTAAATAAGCATTTTTTAACTGATTCTATAACATGACATGTGTGATGTATAAACATAGTAAAACAAACAACAGTGGAAATTATTAATAACCTCAAGAAAATTCATTCAACCCTTTGCGCTCGAGAGGTGACTCACAGTAAAAATTATATTTAATACGATAATTTTAAATAAGCATTTTTTGACTGATTCTATAACATGACACGTGTGATGTATAAACATAGTGAAACAAACAACAGTGGAAATTATTAGTAAAGAAATAATAAAACCTCAAGAGAATTCATTTAACTTTTCAACTAGGTTTTAAAGTTGCTGTTTATTTTAAAGTCGCTGTTTGTAAACAGTCAAATATCTTCGACTGCAAAGGGCTAAATTCTCAACAGAATTATTATTAATACCGAGTTAACGGACGTTATAAAATTTAATAAATATCTCAAAGAGGCCGAAAGGTCACGTGATAACACGGTCGATGTCGCTGATTTTTTTAATCAACAACTTCTAAAACGGTTCGTTGTTTTTACAAGCTTCACAATAATTCCATTGGAATTCCTGTGCTGATACGGGAACAAAGGACGCTCTATCCGCGGCTGCGCAAAGCCGATACACGGGGAAATCTCTGCTGGAAACCGATAAAATGATAATTAAAAAACTTCATTCGATAATGCGTTACAAAATCGGTGCTAAATATTGCGTATTTGCGCTGCTGTGTTGTAAGAGACCGTGGGCGGTCACAGCGTTAAAATTAGAGCGCTTATTGGATTATCGATATTACCAAATTTAACTCTCCGATTAACAAGTTTAACAAAAAATACAGTGCACATTTTAGCTCTAAATAGCTTATGGAAACGGTGTGTAGAATGTATCACAGTAAACTATACCTTGCATATACATCACGATACCTTGCATATCACGATACCTTGCATATCACGATATTATACAAATTATCACAGTCTTGCTTACGCGTTAACAGCACTATTTGAACTTTGCGAAGAACACTATTTCTGACGTGAAATTTTTAAGTAAATGAGAAAGCGATACTATAAGCACTAAACGCGAAGAATTGGAACACTCTTCGTTGCAGTCGGTTTTCTGATTAGAGGAAAGCCGGAGATGCGACGATCGGCGGAAGGATAGTAGCGAAAGGGTATCAGAGGGAATTTGGTCGCGGGAGTGCACGCACACATGGTCGAAAATCACGGGGTTAACACAGGTGCGGGCGATAAGCGCGCGCGACGACGCGCTGTGCCGCTCGACGCCGCGC